TTTCCCTCTTTGTTGTCTCACACTCTGGCAGCCTGTTTTCAGTGGCAAACTCTCAGGTGGACTGCCTAAACCACTCAAAGAGAGAGGTTTATGGGGCAATTAGAAGAGAACCACATTTGTTTACATCATTCTCACCGTGGATAATTATGTACTTTATCTCTTTGGTCATACTTTTATGGATCCCTTGGGCCGCCTTGAATCTAATGTGTGTGCTTAGGTATCAAACTCAATTGTCCAGGAGGCTGGAATAATGGGAAATGAGCTTGCTGGAAAATCAGGTCCTCATGCAGTGTTATCTATGTGTCAGTGTGGATTTTCAACTTGATGGTGATAGGAGATGAGCATTCTACATCCCCACTGAATTAATTACTGAAGATACGTAGCATGTTCTCTGTTTTGCAGCCAGATTCATTCTGTGTTTGGCTGTTGGGTTCATGCCAAGTGCCTAACACTGGAATTAATCTCTCTTATAAATATACTGTGCATACATGTTCCGAAGTGTTTGATGGTGCGAAGAAGTACAGCTGCATATGGGCCCTTAAGCTGTCACTGTTTGTTTCTTGATCTAATGTATTATTTTTTCTCTCCAGTATGGAATAGTGCTGGATGCTGGATCCTCTCGAACTACAGTCTATGTCTATGAATGGCCAGCAGAAAAAGAAAATGACACAGGAGTAGTAAGCCAAACTTTCAAATGCAATGTGAAAGGTGAGCTCAAATTGAATTGCCTTGTTTCTTTCTAGCCTCCAAGAAGAGGTTATCTGGAAGCCTATGCTGTTTTTTTCTGCTGTCTTCCTGTTTTAATCCTGGGGAGGAAGAACTGTTAAGGCTATGTCTGTATCTGTCAGCATCAGTCCTTCTCCTGAGCATCCTGCTACACAGGGTGCTCTAACCTGCGAAGGAGAGAAAAAAAGTGTAACTAAACTTCCATTGCAGTGCATGATTGGTGCAGACAGAATTTGATCTAAAGAATATCAGGCCCTGTTAATGTTTAGTCCTTGGGCCCTGAAATAATGTGTTTTGAAAGGCAAGTATAAAATATGTTTAAAAATAGCTTGGAGTAAGAAGTCTTTGAGAAGAATGGGGATGCAGCCTTTGCTAGATGGTTGTCTTTAATTGTGATGAAGACAGAAGTGGGCGTTGGCTGTGCTACAGGAGTCTGATAAATTAGTATTTATTTTTCAGAAGTCTTAGTGACGTTTAAAGAAAAACAACTCTGCTGTTTAAGTCAGGTTTCCAAGAGAAACAAGGCAAATACAGTTCATTAGGAATGGCTCTGTAATTACTTGAAAAGAGGCAACTGAGGGGATATTACAGAAGAAGAACTTTTCCATGCTACAGAACTAGGAAGTGTCTAACGAAATTATCAATTAAAATAGCTAAACTGCAGAACTGTGCCAGACAGGATGCCATAGTTTTATCAAATATGCAGGTCTGGCCCTTGGGTCAGGAAGACCTGTAGTTGTGCACTGCTAGAAGGTGTCCCACAACAAGTACCATCTGCCTTGTCTTTCGTTTGAGGTTTTGCACTGATTCAGAGAGAGGATGCTAGACTAGACTGACATTTGCTCACATTCTGATATGGATAAGTATATTTTCTAATAGCTTGTTCTGGATTCCTTCATAAGAGCTTTAGAGTCTCTTGATCAACATCAGGGACGTTTGACTAAGCTTTCAAAGATACCAGAATTCCACACGTGTTAGGAAGACAGGTGGCCTGGCAGGGGGAGAAATCCACGTTATTAAACAGTAGTGACTCCACAAGGGATTTCTGCAGGAAGCCAAACTTGGTAAATTCTGCTAGTCTGAGTTGAATGATCTGTAGATTATCCTCTAAGATACTGACTTCAGCAGTTTGTTTAGTGTGCTAGTTTTGGTTTGCAAGTTAGGCAAGAGAAGAAGGTGGGGCAACTCAGGAAGTCTCAGTGCAGCTTTTGTTGATCTCTGGTAGTAACTGTGGCCTTCAAGGAAGATTTTTCCCTTCTCTCTGTTATGACCACACAAAATCCTGCATCCCTCTTTGTGTCTGGAAATAGATGTTGGAGATGTAGCCACAGGGTCCTTGAGTAACTAGATGAGTAGAAGGCAATAGTTTCTTAACAGCACCAACATTTCTGTCTTCAGCGTTTAATATAATTGTGGACATTTTTAGGAATTTTAGCACAAGGAAAGGAAAGCAAGTGTAATGTGCACAGTAGTAATGCATTGTCATGTGCCTTATGATGTGTCCTTGCAGACTGTGAGAGTGGTGGCCAGCCTATTCAGCTGAGGGGTACACTCTGCTAACTCCTGTCTTGGCTCATTAGGAATATTGCCTTTAGGAATTCTCGTGTGAGAAAAAACAGAGAAACTGTGTTATTCTTCTCCTCAAAAAATGAGAGAGGAGTACTTTGTGAATTTAATAGGTTTGGGTTTTGTTTTGCCTCCAGGGAAAACAAAAAATCACGAAACGGAGGAGACCAAATTGCTGTGAACTCTGCAGGTTCAGAGAGGCCTTAGCTGTGCTTGGCCAAAATGCTCCTTATCCTCCGTTGTACCAAATCACCAGGGTTCACTGCTCCAGTCTTGGCTGACCCTGCACTGGAGGAGAGAGGGGGCCCGTGGGAGAGGTCCTGTAAGTTGTGGGGGACAGTGGTGAATACATCTGTCAGTGTTTCTCTAATGGCCCTCTAACCACAGAGGCTTAATCCCTTAAACTGGGAGATGGTTCTGGGCATACTGAGAGGCAGACTTCCCAATACTTAGGGACTTGAAAGTCAAATGGTCAAGTACTCCGTAAGTTCCGTGGTGGTTTTATGATTTCATTTCTGCTTTTATAAGATACCTCTGCTTCTGTATGCAGGAGCCAGCCCCAAACCAAAACTCTTTCTATATAGTGCAGTTAATCTGTCCTGGTCAAGCTCTAACCATCAGCAAAGCGGGTAGTTGTGCGAACAAAATGTTCATCACCCTGTGACCTGCTCAGTCTGAGCAGCGGGAGGCAGAGGTTGCTGCCGCCAAGGCGGGGGTGTGTGAGGCAACTGCAGATGCTGAGGATACAGAACAGCAGTTGCTGCTGCTCTGTTTTCCTCCGGTGAGAACTTCACTGCCAGCTTCAGGCCCACCTGTGCTGGCCTTAAGACTTTTAGAAGTCTTACTCCAAACTAGGGCTGTGAACATCTAACGGTGACATGGTAATGTTTATGTTTAAATTCATAGTGCGGAAATGGGAGCGGGGGAATGAGGAGTCTGTAAAGTTTTACATGTTTTTTCTTCTGTTTTTATCAATTCAGTGTGGCTGAACAAAAATGGTTAATAATTTTAACTCTGCAAGAGACACTTTTTGGTTAGGTTGGGATCAGGTTGTGAGAGAGATGGCTGTTACAGGAGAACCAGATGGAGTTCTGGTGGGGCTGTTTTCTGTGGGGCAGTGGCTTCATGGGAATGCCTGGGTTTGTCCTTGTGCAACTTCCTCAGCTAGGAAATGTTAGTAAGGAATGGTTTTGGTCACACCCAAGGTGAGCCTGAACAAATTGAGGTACTGCTGCTGCTTGGAGTGTTGAGCAAGGGAAGTAAGACCTTGATGTTAATTATTCCAATAGTTATGCAGCATGTTGTAACTTGCATTCCTGTTTCAAGGCTCTGGAAGTTTGGAAAGCTGTGAAATGCTTAGTAGTTCATGCACCAGCCTAGTCTTGGACCTGTATGAATTCAAGAGCCATTTGTGTGCATCTTAAAATTTTGCCTGTAATTCCTCACAGAAGCTTATTTATTTTACTATCAGTTGAGAGTAGTGAGTTGTAGTGGCGTCATGGTGTGCTCAACAGTTGTGACAAACCAGAGTAGGAAATCTTTGTCTTAGGTGGTGGAAGGATGGGTTTCCTGTTCTTTCACATACCAGAGGAATTGTGCATCCATTAGATGTAATACTTTCTACAGCATCTGCCATAAATCAACCTCTTTTGCTCATTAATATAGCACTGCCGTCATTGTGTTGTTACATGGTTATACTCCATATCTCACTCTACATATGGTGCTATAGGTTTATATGTTTACACACAGAAATGCAGGCAAACAGTTTGCAGGTATCTTCCCTGTCTTGCATAGCTGGGAGTGTCACTACATTGTTTATTCCTTAAGCACTCATCATTTTCAACCATCCTGTCCTTGTTTGGAGTTACAGGAGGGAAGGGGGAAGTCTTTCTCTCATCACCTGTTTGCTAATAGGGCTAATTTGTAGTTGGCAAAGCAGAATGAAATCAATCTGCTTGTTCTCTTTTAGGCCCTGGTATATCCAGCTATGAGAGTAACCCTGGAGCTCTTGCCAAACCCTTTGACGAGTGTCTGAATGAAGTCAAGGAGAGAATACCAGTTCACCTGCATAAAACCACTTCTGTTTATCTGGGGGCTACAGCTGGTATGAGACTACTGAGGTATGGCAGAAACTTGAATTCCTCTCTATGCACACTAGCATAGCAGTCTGTGAAAACAGAATGTGAAAAATCTACTGGACACATTTTTATCCATTGGAAATTGGCCATCTCAGAAAGAAATGGAGCCCAGCCAATTTAATTTAATTAACTTTTTCTGTAGGG